GGAAGGAAGGAAGGAAGGAAGGAAGGAAGGAAGGAAGGAAGGAAGGAAGGAAGGAAGGAAGGGAGAAAGAAAGAAACTTGCTAAGATCAAAATAGGAAGCAACAGACTCAAGATTCATATCCAGGATTGTCTGACTCTGGATCTTGAACTCTTATCCATGTGTTCTTCCACTTCTTTGCATCATCTATAAACTTGTCATTATCTAAGTCAATCACAAAAAATATCAAACAGAACCAAGGGCAGAACTCAAAGGTAAATTATATCCTTCCACGCATACTTGAACCAATTACTCATGTCGTCATAAACAGCTAGAGATTGAGGTATTTTTCACATATTGACTGCCAGAGAAGTTGAGCAATTTGCCCAAGCTCATACACCTAGGGAAGAAAGGAGATGGAAGACTAAACAAGCCAGAGAGTTCAAGCCCTTCACTCATTCCATCAGCGCACACTTCAAGTATAAACGAGAAACCATCCAAAAAGTTTTCAAGCACGCTGTCATCTAAATTGCAATTCTCCAACTTGTTCCCATGCATCTCATGAGATCTCTATCAAAAACCCCATTGGAGTGAACGTGCACTTCATCAGACGCCCTTGATCTGGGGGAGATGGGATTAGTTTGTCCTGACCAACTCTCAGCGAACACGTGGAATTCTTCATTCCAACAGCTCATAAGTCATCCATTTAATAATCCAGTATAGGTTTTTGAAGGGATAGCATCAGTATGAGGTCTTTTGAGACCCGCCAACTCCCTGAAAACTGTGTGAGTCATCTCCAGTCATCAGGCCCCACTCAACAGTGGCCCTGGGTCTCCCTACAGTGGGCCCGAGATTCACTCAGAGCTGCTAAACACACCTCTGCCATCTACTGTTTATCTAAGCTTCAACTTCTCTCAGTCGTTTCCAACTGAGACTGTTTTCCTTGGTAGAGAAGAGAAGTCAAATCGAATCAGACTGGTTCTGTTTTCTTTCTGCCTTCTGTTGTTGTAAATGAATCTGCAAAATTCCTTCTTTTGTCGTTAACATTTTCAAGAAGCCCAGCTCAGTCTGACACTTACTCCAGGCCTATTCCATCCTTTTGTATTTGCTTTTGGTCATAGCCACTGACAAAGACTCTCTCCTTGACCAAACGTTAATCAGGCTCCTCTGGGCCTGACTAGGCCCCATCCTTGGGAATGTTCTCCAAGAGCCCAGTTTTAGCAAGAATCCTGCTAAGTCAGTTTAGCCGGAATCTCCCATCCTTAGTATCTGATCATCCTTGATGGCTGATCAAATTCTTCATCCCCGACCATTCCCTAAGTAATGTCTGGTTACCCTGGCCTGCCCTCAGCAAGAATCCTATGAGGTCAGTTTAGCCAGAATCTCCTCTCACCTCTGGTGCTTCCTCTCAGTAATTTTCCATCGACTGACCCCCACCCTGCTCCTTGGCTGTGAATTTCCACTGTTCCTTGTTGCTTTCAGAGCTAAGCCAAGTCTCTCTCTCCTACTGCAAAACCCCACTGCACTAGGCCCCATACCTATTGCAACAGTCCTGAATATAGTCTGCCTTAGTGTTTCAACAAGTGACAGAATAATTTTTTACATCTTTTGTATATGTACTTTTAAAGTGAGAGCTCACCCAAGAACTTCCTATTAGCCAGAAAATCAGTGTCTTCCCTTTTTCCTTCTGCAGATCACTCTCCCCTACCCTCAACTCGTAAGAGGCAGAATCAGGATTGAACTCCAAACTGCCTGTGGAGCCTGAGCCTTTAACTACTATGCTATGTTATCCTTGTATTCTCTGCAAATGTGTCAATAACTAAGCCATTGATTAAAATACAACCAATAACAGAACCTAGAGATCTCTATCCACCGGCCTCTCGATCAATTAAACAGACAGTCAAAGAAGAGCCTGAAGGGGACATGAGGTCCAGAGAATTTAATTTAACCAATGTTAGGAGATAGTTTTTTCAAAGGTAAAATCATAACTCTGTCAAAGATAAACAAAGCCAGACTCTAGTTAAAGTGGTAAGGACAGGTTTTAATCAGTTAGTTTAATACTATTACAATAGAGAAAAGAGTCCAGCGTGAACTGAACTGAACTTGGATTTGTACGGGGATGACTTGGCATTTTACAGGGAGAATGAGGGATTAGGGAGGGGGTGAGCAGAGGTTCAGTAGAGTCAGGGGAGTGACACATTACAAAAAAGTAGAAAGGGGAGGTTGGTCTGTGTGAAACCATCTGGGTTTGTTAGGCTCCTACCTCCCACAGAGACTGGGAGACAGGGACTCTACATTCACGTGTTGGCTGGAACAAACAGTAAATTGTTTTGGCAGCCTTGAGTTTTCTCAGGCAGGCACTTTAAGAGGGTCATCTTAGGGATGTGGCCACGTGCTGTTAGAAATTACATTAGTGTTTTGTTCAAGTGTTTATAGGACAAGGTTGAGCCTGGTCAAGAAAGGGCTCAGAGGAGCCTGGTCAGAGTTTGGTCAAGGAGAGAATCTTTGCCAACTCTCACATAATATAAAATAATGTGTCAATATTTTATTTAACTTATTAGTTAATGGTGGAACCAGTAAAATATTACAGCCAGTTCAAAGGAGAACTCAAACTACTGCACACTTATATTCAGGTGAGAAATGCTAAAATGAATTTATAAATAGAGGCAAAACTGGAAAAACTGGTTTGTATCCAAAGGTATTGCATTCCACAAGAGACAATTTACATTTTAATGGAAAGAATTATTTGCATTACTATCAGTTTGATATAAGTCAACTTCTGTCTCTACAGATCGGTAAAATAGCCCAGTCAAAAGTTAGCAAAGGTGCACGTCTATAAAATCAAATAATCCCCAAAGTTTCCAGCATTCCATTGAAAGGATATTCAGCAACCTCTCTTGCCATTTCAAAATCTTCCAGTTTTTCCCTACACCATGGTCAAACAGCAGTAGAAGTGAGTCCAGAAAAATCAAAAAGATGAAGAGCATCAATAATCAGGGATACATCTATAAAGTATTAGGAAGATGGTCAGGTTTACTGGTTAGGTTCCCAAATTCTGAAGACTGCTTGGGCTCCCTTAAATCCCAGTTTTGCCACAAGTGGTCATGTTATCCAGGCAATGTTACTTAACTCACTTGTGCCTCAATTTCCTCATCTGTAAGATGGACATAACAATAAGTACCTGCTATATAACTGAGCTAATAATTGGTAACATCTCACTAAAATGATAGCTATTATTATTATGTCTCTTTGGAGCCTGTGGCCATGAAAGCATGCCTATCTGTATTCTAAAAGGTAATGCCTGACTAGCCCCAGAATTCTATCTTAGTGATCACAAATTCTACAATAAGATGAACATTAATTCTTTCTCTCAAGTTTTCCATTGCTTCTAGTA